GAGTGAGTGAACCTGCGAGGATCATTCTCACTGTATCCAGTCCTAAGGCTGGGAGAGTAAACACAATCCTATTTTTTCTTGGAAGTTAATTTCTTCATAGAACAGAGAACTGCCACAGTTGATAACACTCTCTCTACACAGGGTATTTTAGGAAATCTCCAATAAGAAATTTTTAGCACTATAACTTGCGAATGTAACCACTTATTTTTCCAATATTTTTGTGTATATCGATTTAGTTGTTCTCAACTAGGGGGCCATTTTGCTCTGCAGGGTGATGTCCGGAGGCATTTTTGGTTGTCACGACTTGGAGTGGGGCATTGTGTCTGGCATCTAGTAGGTAGAGGCCGGGGTGCTGCTTACTAACCTACAATGAACAGGACAGCCTCTCCATCCTCCTCCCTCCCCTGCCTGTAACAGAAAATTATTCAGTCCAAAATATCAATAATGCTGAGGGTGAGAAACCCTGGATTATTCTTATCAATACAGTACAGATTATAACACAAATCATCTCTTTAAAACACTGCTTATCTTCTCATTGTGTATGCTAATACATATTCTATGTAATCTATAATAAAAACACATCTTCCTTCTGAACCATCTCTTCAAAGAAACTCTCATACAATGATTACCAGTGACGGTGAAATTGCTGATTTGCATTTACTCAACACACACTCATGTTACCAACATCCCGTGAAAGAACTAAAGTAAGGAGAAAGAAGAGGAAGCAGGTTACCTCTCGAATAAGACCTGGCTGTAGTCATCCAGGACGCGGGCGTGAGTGTGGAGGAGGATGGTGTTGTAGCCCACCAATGCGGCCATCATGATCAACATTTTCAACTCATAATTCACCCGCAGGAAAACCGAACAGGAGATCAATCCCAGGATGCAGCTGTAGATAAAGTACTGGAGCGGGGAATACACGACATGAACACTTAGGATCTCTTCTGAGAAATACTGAAGTAATTACAATGGGCGACCACCACCAGGCTCATGTGGTCAACTGATAAACTGGCTGTGAGGGCTGATGCCTTTTCCTGCTCTTTGATTCAGTGCTAAAAGCCAGAACACCTTTGATTTAGAAAATAATTACTCATTACATGGCTTGTTGACCCAGTGCTGCATGTTTAATAAAAAATAGTCATGCATATTGACAAGTAGTTTTCAGAAATAATAAAAAAACTATATTGAAGATGTCATTATAAGCAAATGCCATGAGCTTCTTGAAAATAAAAACAATGTGACTCCCTATACATTTACAGACTTAAAAAAATTCATAGTACATAGAATCTCTTTTGGCCTTTCAATTCTTTAATTCATTAAGAGGATATAAATCATTACAATTAGTTCTGTTAGAAGTGTAAGAAAGCCCAGGCATTTTATTGAAAGAGACATTGTGTGTCAGAGGGACTATCTAAAACAGAAAAGATTTAAAAAACTAAAAGCTTTGACCAGGATGAGTCAAGAATATCCTGGAAGAGGACAGGCACCTGAAGAAATGGGAAGAACCAAGTGCGAGGAAAAAAGCTGGCACATTCTATCTTTTGTAGTCGATAGGAAGCAGCTGGCAGGCCTGCCCTGTGTTAGCACTTGTCTCGCTATTGACCACTATTTACCAGACAGGATTGCCCTGGTTCAATTCTGCGCCAATCACTCATTAGCTGGGTTACTTTAGGCCGGTGACCTAACTTGCCTGTGTCACGGTGTCTTCATTTGTAAAATGAGGGTAATAATGTCATTTCTGGAGGTCATTGAGAAGAACAATAAAGCTTGGAGCCCAGAGCCCCATAAATGAGTCACGAGGGACTCGCTAAATGAGAATGGCTGCCATTCTCACAAAGCCTTATTTGCTACAGCGTGAGGTTTTTACGAACAACAGGTTATGCTACTATCTTAGCATCCCGGAACAGAAGCAGCATTCAATAAAGCTTAATAATTTTAATAAAACATAGATCTGATTGATGTTTGATAAATTCTATCTTTAAAAAATAGCCCACTGTGTAAGCTACTCAATTTTAGTTTCATTGTATAGAATAAGCCACGTGTAAATGCCTCATCTTTTGTCATTCTAGTGCTTCCTTTCATTTCCCCAGCTGAGGTCACCCACAGTAAGCTATCTGGAGGGCTACTGAGATTAGCTCATCAGTCTTGTTCTTGGGGAAGAAAGAAACTTGAAAAATGAGCTGCAGTGCTTCCTTCCCTGTAAGAGGCACGCTGACGTTGCTGGAGGCACTCACGCAGGAGTTCATACAGATCCCTTACTGGTGAGGACTGGACCTGGCACTTCAGCTTCCAAAGGAAGAAGAGCAATTCTCCTTGGATTACACGAAAACTGGGTCACTCTCAGGGAAGTCAAGCATTCCTGGGCAAGGGCGCGTTACAGGTGGCAGCATTTTAAGGGATAGTGAGTGCTGTAAGCACAATCTCTTTGCCCAAAATTACCTACTTGATGTCAGTTCTCCACTGTTCTCACCACCACTCCCACCCACAACAGAGACTAAGAAGAGGAAGAGAGGAGAGGGAATGTGTCCTATGGGACTGTTGGGGCTGGCAGAATGGAGTGACAGAATTAAGAGATCTGTGAAAGAGCAGATGGGGTGCATTCATTGCTCCCCGAAGCAGAAAGGTAGGAGAGGTAGCAAGTGCTTTGAAACCAGCTCTTATTTACACACAGTTCTGCCACTGTTACCTTAGGTGAGTTGCTAAGTATCCACCTCTGAGTTCTGCTGTTGTTTCCTTAGGTAAGTTACTAAGTATCCACCTCTGAGGGCAGGTATGAGGGCTCAGTGATAGAACACACACCAGTGCTGGGGATAGCCTCTGGAAGCTCTGCAGGGAGCTCTGCAAATAGCCTAGGGAGGTCCATGCAGGGCCTGGGATGCCTGTCTCTCGGAACATGCGTAACAATTTGACAAGGTGGGCTTGTTTCTGTTGAATCTAATAAAATACAAGCTTGCATTTTTTTTTTCTGGTGAGGAAGATTAGCCCTGAGCTAACATCTATTGCCAATCCTCCTCTTTTTTGCTGAGGAAGACTGGCCCTGAGCTTAACATCTGTGCCCATCTTCCTCTATTTTATATGTGGGACACTTGTCACAGCATGGCTTGATAAGCGGTGCGTAGGTCTGCACCTGGCGTCCGAACCTGCGAACCCTGGGCCGCTGAAGTCGAGCACATGAATTTAACCACTATGCCACTGGGCTGGACTCCAAGCTTGCAATTTGTATGTCTTTTTTTTTTTTTTTTAGTTCATTTTTCTGCTAATTCACCCTTATATTTTTCTTTAGTATCAATATGCAACAGATTGGAAACTAAAAAAACAAAACAAAATGAAAATAGTGCCTTCCCCACAGAGAGTTGGAGAGCCCTGGTTTATAACCTGCTAGTCGTTTAGTCAGCAGTCACTAGTATCAGAAAACTGCCCCTCAGAAGCCATGGAATTGCCTTGGGAACCGGCAGTGGGCAAGGCCCCCATTCAGAGTCTGCCCCATCTGCTCACCAAAGCAGCTCCTTTGAATAATTAACGGCAATCCTGCACCCTGCACAAGGGACTCGAGGTTGGGAAGATGACAGTACCCACTTTGAAGAATTCTTGTGAGGATGAAATAAGATAATATAAGTACAGAGCTCAGAACAGTATCTGGCCCATGGGAAGCTATATAAACTCTGCTATTATTAGTATAAACTTGGGCTTTTTGCAAGATTTGGTTTTTAAAAGGATTCTGCTGCTAAAATTATGCTTGAAAACCATTATTAGAATGAAAGTTATCAACCAGTTCAGCTTAATTGAAGGAAGAGCAGAATAATGAGCCCCTTGTATGAGTGTGTCTCAAAGTGTGCACATCTGTTCCCAGGGGGTTGGGGAGTAGGATTGTAAAGGTTTTCTGCAATACTTCTAGTTAGAATATGTGCCAATACCTATACAAATATGCCTATGATTTCACATTTTAAAATTCATTCTTAGGCTTTTTAAAAGTTTTCACATTTCAGGAACATCTACTAAAATATATATGCCAATGGAAAGTAGCTTTTTAGTTTGTTTTCTATTAAATAGCCTTTCTAGAATGCTTGGAGGCCATGCACAAGGTGATCGGGGACTGACTTAAAGGCAGGTTGGGAACCTATAGATAGCGACAGAGGGATGTGTGAATGAGGGAGAACATGC